CTGTCAGTGTCGCGGGTTCTATGCCTCATCAGGGTCCATACAAGAATCAACCAATGAATGCATCAGTAAGTGCAACAACAAATCAATGTTTCTCTCTCTCTCCCTTCATCCCTTCACATATGTCAAACACAAGGCCCACGGGCCAAATCCGTCCCGCCAGGCCTTGCAATGTGGCCCGCACCGCGCTGTCATCACTGCACTCCGCTGCGTTTCCATCACAATGACAGTTTATGACTGTTCAGTAAACCATTCGGCCCGCGATTTAGGCTGGATTTTAGATTTTGGCCCCTTCTCTGATTGAGTTCGACACCCCCTACCTCCTCTCCTCCTCCTATCCTCCTCCTCCTCCTCCTCCTCCTCCTCCTCCTCCTCCTCCTCCTCCTCCTCCTCCTCCTCCTCCTCCTCCTCCTTCTTCTCTCTCTCTCTCTCTTTCTCTCTCTCTCTCATTAATAAATTAAAAACAATAAAACCATTACCCACCCCAATGACTCACGGGCTCTGAGGCTTCAGTTGCCCTGCAAGACCGGGCTGAGACCAGCCCAGGATCGCGTAGCCCTTGCAGACTGCGGGGAGGAAAACCTTGCCTTGTTCCCAGAACTTAGGGGCCTTATGGGAGTTTTGTGAACTTAAGACCCCGCCCTCTGGCCCATGTGAATAAGCACCAATCCTGCCCAGGTCTGACCCCGCAGAGGGCAAAGGAAGAGGGTGGGACCCACAGGCAGGGAGGGCTGGCAAGACTTGAGGGCCTGACCCTGGAGATTGTAAAGTATTTGGACTGTATCTTTAAGGGGCTTTAAAAAAAAATTTTAATTTTTTAATTTTTTATGGCTGTATAATACAGTCTCTACCCAAGCTATGAAATCCATCCATTCTACTCAGTTCATAAGGTAGAATTAAATGATCCTTTTAACCCCAAGGCAGTGAGTTAATGGCCTCCTCTTTGTTGTGGGCAGGTCTTCAGGACTCACTCCGCTCATCAGGAAAACCAAAGGAGGTACTGGCTGTGGCTGGAACGCTCTCCAGCTGGCTTCCACGTGAGGCACAGTTGTCTCTTTGTTAGACTGACTTACCCTTTTTTAAAAATTTTATTTTATTTTATTGATTTTTACAGAGAGAAAGGGTGAGGGACAGAGAGTTAGAAACATCAATGAGAGAGAAACATCGACCAGCTGCCTCCTGCACAGCCCCCACTGGGGATGTGCCCGCAACCAAGGTACATGTCCTTGACTGGAATCGAACCTGGGACCCCTCAGTCTGCAGGCTGACGCTCTACCCACTGAGCCACACCGGTTTTGGCTGACTTACTCTTTTTAAGAGAGGCTCTGCCTCTGATGTCTCCCATTAACTGAAGCCTGAAAATAAGTAAAATGCCCTGTGAACCCCAGGCACCTGCCTCCTTCCTTTACCTTCCCCACGAGAAGTGTATTCTGTACGAGGGGCTGGTCTTACGTGCACTTACCAAGATCTAAAGAAGTAAAATTCAGCCCTAACCGGTTTGGCCCAGTGGATAAAGTGTCGGCCTGTGGACAGAAGGGTCCCGGGTTCGATTCTGGTCAAGGGCATGTACCTTGGTTGCGGGCACATCCCCAGTAGGGGGTATGCAAGAGGCAGCTGATCGATGATTTTCTCTGATTGATGTTTCTAACTCTATCCCTCTATCCCTCTCTCTTCCTCTTTGTAAAAAATCAATAAAATATATTTAAAAAAAAAAAAAAAAAGATTTTCCATTAAATAAATAAATAAAGAAGTAAAATTCAGCCCTAACCGGTTTGGCTCGGTGGATAATGTCGACCTGCGGACTGAAAGGTTCCGGTTCGATTCCGGTCAAAGGCATGTACCTTGGTTTCGGGCACATCCCCGGTAGGGGGTGTGCAGGAGGCGGCTGATCGATGTTTCTCTCTCATTGATGTTTCTAACTATCTCTCTCTCTTCCTCTCTGTGAAAAATCAACAAAATATAAATAATAATTTTTTAAAAAAAGAAGTAAAGTTCAGACTAAAGCACCATCACAGGCCAGCAGGGCAAAATGGTATGCATGTGACCTCAGGCCCAAGCATTAGCTCACTCTATGTAGTACTTTTCTGGTCTGTTCAGTTTCCGGCCAGTCTCCTATGCCACCTCAATGCCCCTGGGCAGAGGGAAGTGGGCGTGGACTCAGATACTGGTAGGTACAGGGATTGAGAATGACAGCCAGGGCTGAAGGCGCATCCCCCGGTCTGCAACAGCACTCTCCTGGCAGAAGGGAGAGGGTGAGAATTTTGTTTGACAAGATGTCCATCGCGTTTGCTCATGAGCCACTGGCTAAAGCCAGTTACAAGGCCCGGCCAGCGTTTTGTTTTTGTTTTTTTTTAAATATTTTATTGATTTTTTACAGAGAGGAAGAGAGAGGAATAGAGAGCTAGAAACATCAGTGAGAGAGAATCATCGATCAGCTGCCTCTTGCACACCCCTCACTGGGGATGTGCCCGCAACCAAGGTACGTGCGCCTGACCGGAATCGAACCCGGGACCTTTCAGTCCGTAGTCCGATGCTCTTTCCACTGAGCCACACCGGCTTCAGCCCGGCCAGCGTTCCTTTCAGCCATTCTTTTCAGGCTGCAGCTGTCACAGTGACCTGGCCTGGGCAGCAGGTGGATGTCTGCCTGAGATCTCCGGCCCTTAGGAGGCTCAGAATACTGGGGAGGCCCCTGGCGTTGATGCTACTCCTTCTGTCCCCAGAAGGACCCTGTAGGGCGGCCTTACCTCTAGCAAAGTGCTTCCCAGTGTCAACCACCTGGACATCCATCTTCTTCTTCTTCTTCTTCTTCTTTTTTAAATATATTTTTATTGGTTTCAGAGTGGAAGGGAGAGAGAGAAACATCAATGATGAGAGAGAATCATTGATCAGCTGCTTCCTGTCTGCCCCCTATTAGTGATCAAGCCCGCAACCCAGGCATGTGCCCTTGACTGGAATCGAACCCAGGACCCTTCAATTCGCAGGCCAACACCCTATCCACTGAGCCAAACCAGCCAGGGCTGGACATCCATCTTCTAAGGCCCAGTATATTGGTCAGCTCAGGCTGCCCTAACACAGTCCCGTGCTGGGAGACTCAGTGTTTATTTTCTCACAGTTCTGGGAGCTAGAAGGCCAAAACCCAAGGTGTCGGTGGAGCTGGTTTCTGGTGAGGACTCTTCCTGGCTTATAAATAGCCACCTGGCTGTGTCCTTACATGGCCTTCCCTCTGGTGTCACTTCCTCTTTCGTTTTGTTTTGTTTGTTAATCCTCACCCCAGGATATTTTCCTTTGATCTTTTTGAGAGAGTGGAAGAGAGAGGGAAAGACAGAAGCATCGGTGTGAGGGTAACATATCAATTGGTTGCCTCCCGCAGGCATCCTGACCAGGAGCCTACAACCAAGGTACTTGCCCTTGACCGGAATCGAACCCGGGACCCTTTGGTCCACAGGCCAACGCTCTCTCCACCGAGCCAAACGAGCTAGGGCTGGTGTCACTTCCTTTTAATAAGGACACTAGTCCTATTGGATTAGAATGCATCCTAGGACCTCACTTAAACCTCAACAATCCTCTTAAAGGCCCCATTTCCAAATACATTTCAAGTTAGAGCTTCAAGCAATGGATTCTGGAGGCTACAATTCGGTCCATTAACATCCAGGGTCCCGCCGAAACCGGTTTGGCTCAGTGGATAGAGCGTCGGCCTGCAGACTGAAAGGTCCCAGGTTCGATTCCGGTCAAGGGCATGTACCTTGGTTGCGAGCACATCCCCAGTAGGGGGTGTGCAAGAGGCAGCTGATCAGTGATTCTCTCTCATTGATGTTTCTAACTCTCTATCCCTCTCTCTTCCTCTCTGTGAAAAATCAGGGTCCCTGGGATAGGGTAGCATTTGCAATACATAATTCAGTGTTGTCAACAAGTCTGCAAGGAAATTATCAGCAGCATCATTTGCACTTTACAGATAAGGAAGATGAAGTAACTTCTCAGTAAGTGGAGGATCCCAGACTGGAACTGTTGCTTTGATTGCAAGTCAGGTGTTCTTTGAACTGGAACTCTGAATGTGGGCCTCATAAACATGGAAACTGAAATACTGACTTAATAGCTGTAAGGTTTATGTAACCTACGGAATATTATTTGTAAAATGACATTAAGTACAAAAAAGAAAGAGAGGAGGTAGACACACACACACACACACAACACACACGCATATCGATGTGAGAAAGAGACATTGATTGGTTGCCTTCTGTCCCGACGGTAATTAAACCTGCAACCCAGCAATGTCCCTTTACCTGGAATCGAACCTGAGACCTTTGGGTGCACAGGACGACACTCAGCCAGCTAAGCCACTCCAGCCGGGTCCATTTTAATTTTGATAGTATATATCTGTATTTCTGGGGACTGGGGACTGCAGGTATCCGGCTTATTTCTGTCTTAAATTTCACATCTTTCACATTTCAGGTGTATTTCCTAGCTTCTGGGATCTGCTGTATGAACCCATAGTCCCCTGACTCTCTACCTCCTAACTGCGACAATGTATATTAACCTATTGTTCTTTCAGCTCCATCTTAGTACACTAAAGATTATTTTTTAAAATGTATTTTTGTTGATTACGAAGAGGAAGGAAGAGCGAGAGAGAGAGAGAGAGAGAGAGAGAGAGAGAGAGAGAGAGAGAGAAACATCAATGATGATAGAGAATCACTATTGGCTGCCTCCTGCAGGCCCCACACTGAGAATCAAGCCTGCAACCTGGGCATGTGCCCCGACCGGGAATCAAACCGTGACCTCCTGGTTCATAGGTTAACGCTCTACCACTGAGCCGCACTGGCTGGGCAAGACTTTTTTTTTACTCATTCTGTAACTATGCAGACACAGCTCCGTGTGCTACGTTATTTTCCTTACCTGGACTCGGGTACCGCCAGAGAGTAAATGATAAAAGCGCTCTTTCCCGTTGTTCCAGGGAGTGAGTGGCAGTCGCAAGGTCACAGGCCAACCTTCTCCCCTTCTCTTCGCAGCCGTCCTTTCATCAGGCCGACAGCGTGCGGGGCACCCGCCACCACGGGCTGGTGGAGCGGCACTCCAGGACCCGCTTCCACCCCCTCCACCGGCGGCCTGCGGACAAGCCCGGGCGGCAGATATCCTTTCTCACTGTCGAAGGAGAGTATACGCTTTGAAATGTGGCTTTCAGGATGGATCTTCCCTGCCATTCCTCTCTGGCCTCAAAATCGTCCTTCTATCTGGTGAATGCAGGCAACGGAAGTAAGTAAGGTGGAACCTAGAAAGATGATTATAGCCGAAACCAGTGTGGCTCAGTGGATAGAGCGTCTGCCTGCGGACTGAAGGGTCCCGGGTTCAGTTCCAGTCAAGGGCATGTACCTTGGTTGCCGGCACATCCCCAGTGGGGGGTGTGCAAGAGGCAGCTGATTGATGATTCTCTCTCATTGATGTTTCTGACACTTTCTCTCTCTTCCTCTCTGTAAAAAATCAATAAAATATATTAAAAAAAAAAAAAAAGAAAGAAAGATGATGATAGGTGTTTACTGAAGCATCATTAAGGTTTCGTTTCATGGAGCAGCTGGACATACACAACATGTCATTCAGCCCCCTTGCGAGGCTCTCTTTGCATTTGCCTGAGAAATCAGTAATGTCAGGGTTAAACCTGGCTTTGAACCAGCTTTGAGAGATTCCGTTATCTCTCTGAAACAGATACACAGAAAAGTGATTGAGTTTTACTTATGTTGACCTGCTGTTAGAACTCACAGACAGAATTTCATAGGATTTTCCATTTATGGACTTGCAAACTCAGTAAAGGACAACCGAAATATATAGCCAGTATTTAGGAAAATTCCCATACGGTAATGCTCACTCCAGGCTGTTAAGGAGGAATAAAGAGGAGAGGTGTGATCTCCCCTGGCAATTATTTTTTTAAAATATATTTTATTGATTTTTTACAGAGAGGAAGGGAGAGAGAGTTAGAAACATCGATGAGAGAGAAACATCCATCAGCTGCCTCCTCACACCTCCTACTGGGGATGTGCCCGCAACCAAGGTACATGCCCCTGACCGGAATCGAACCTGGGACCTTTCAGTCTGCAGGCTGATGCTCTATCCACTGGGCCACACCGGTTTCGGCCCCTGACAATTATTGGACTGGTCCTTATCAGGGCTGGAGCTGGCGTGCTGATGGGCAGCCAGCACTGGGTGGAGGGCTCTGGGGGCACAGAATTGAGCTGGCCTTCGTGGGCCCTGACATAGAATGAGCATGCCATGGGGGCCCTGCTCTCTCCCTCCCCTCCTCACACAGGGAGGTGGAGGAAGGCGCAGAGGCGGGGCGGGTCTGACTGCAGAGCCGGATTCCTGGCAGTGATGGCAGAATTGGCTTCAGGAGCCTAACAGCCAGGAAGTGGGGGAGGGGCACTCGTGTTTACTGAGCACCTACCCATGCCAGGCTCTGTACTGGGCAGTTCATCTGCCATTTAGTCCTTAAGGCTTGCCGAGTAGTTTTTTTTTTTGTTTGTTTGTTTGGTTTTTAATCTTTTTTAAAAATATATATTTTATTGATTTTTTACAGAGAGGAAGACGGAGGGATAGAGAGTTAAAACATCAATGAGAGAATCCTCGATCAGCTGCTTTTTGCACACCCCCTACTGGTACATGCCCGCCGAAACCAGTTTGGCTCAGTGGATGGAGCGTCGGCTTGCGGACAGATGGGTCCTGGGTTCGATTCCAGTCAGGGGCATGTACCTTGGTTGCAGGCACATCCCCAGTGGGGGGGTGTGCAAGAGGCAGCTGATCGATGCTTCTCTCTCATCGATGTTTCTAACTCTCTATCCCTCTCTCTTCCTCTCTGTAAAAAATCAATAAAATAATAAATAAATAAATAAATAAATAAATAAATAAAAAAGGTGCATGCCCTTGACCGGAATCGAATCTGGAACCTTTCAGGCCGACACTATCCACTGAGCCAAACCGGTTTCGGCAGTAGTTTGCTTTATTAACCCTCATTTTCCACGGAGGAAACGGGGTGCCAGAGTTACTTGCCTCAGATTTCACTGCTGAGGTCGGAGGGTCCCGGATTCAGCCCAGGCCAAGCTGACTCCCAGCCCGGGCCCCGCCCTGTACCGCACACATCCATCGCGCATGACCAGGCCCATCAGTGCGTTGCAGGTGCACCGGCTGCTTTCCTGGCCTTCAGGCTGCTGGCGGGGCTTCATCTATTCATAGCAAAGGCTGTTCCCCAGGGGGCAGTTATTGCTCCCCTCTTTCTGCCCCCGGGGACATACACGCCATTTGGGCCACTGAGATACTCTGACTCCTAGTTTTGTTGTTTTGTTATTTTTAAAAGGCGTTATTTTATTTAATTAATTTATTATTTAATCCTCACCCGATGGTATTTTTTCTATTGATTTTAGAGAGAGAGTGTAGAAGAGAGAGGGAAAGACAGATTGGTTGCCACCTGCTTATTACCCCAACCAGGGCCCGGGCTGGGGAGGAGCCTGCAACCGAGGCACATGCCCTTGACCGGAATCAAACCTGGGACCTCTTTGGTCTACAGGCTGGCGCTCTATCCACTGAGCCACACCGGCTCAGGCCTGACTCCTAGTTTTGTATGGTATGTGGCCATTATCAGGGAAAGTTGAAGATGACAACTGATGCTGAGAATTTCTTTCTGGGATGTGTGATGACTTTTATGTAGAATGCAGGAGGGAAAGGAGAATCGAGGCAGATCTTCAGCCAATTCACACGGGTGTGGGTGGAGCAGTACGTCAAACTGTTGTCCAGATCACTTGGAATCTTCAAGCAAAAGCCTTTGAGTGTTTCATCGCCTGGTTTAACAATATATCTTTTTCTGATTTCTCAATTTCCTCTTTCTGTGTAGGTGCTCTCTCTAAATGTCCTGAGTGTGTGTGTGGGTATGTAGTTATCTCAGATCCTTTTTTAAATTATTTTTTATTTTATTGATTTTTTACAAAGAGAAGAGAAAGGGATAGAGAGCTAGAAACATCGATGAGAGAGAAACATCGATCAGCTGCCTCCTGCACACCCCCTACTGGGGATGTGCCCGCAACCAAGGTACATGCCCTTGACCGGAATCAAACCTGGGACCTTTCAGTCCACAGACCGGCGCTCTATCCACTGAGCCAAACCGGTTTCGGCATCTCAGACCCTTTTTGCAGCAGGCATAGTCTAAATATGTACACATGCTTACAGCTGTTCTAACCAAAGAAATAACTTAGAAGAGAAAGGGGTTGAAGAAAAGCCACAGAGAGGAATATTCATTCATCCACTGATTTCAGTATATGCTAGTGTCAGGCACCATTGTAGACATTGTTGATATTATGTAAAAAATATTATGGTCCTTGCCAAAACCGGTTTGGCTCAGTGGACAGAGCGTCGGCCTGCAGACTGAAAGGTCCCAGGTTCGATTCCGGTCAAGGGCACATCCGGGGGGATGTAGGGGGGCCGTGCAGGAGGCAGCTGATTGATGATTCTCATCAATGTTTCTAGCTTTTTGTCCCTCTCTCTTCCTCTCTGTAAAAAAAAATCAATAAAATATATTTTAAAGATATATATTATGGTCCCGCCCTAGCCAGTGTGGCTCAGTGGATAGAGCATCTTGGCCTGCGGACTGAGGGGTCCCGGTTTTGATTCTGATCAAGGGCACATACCTCAGTTATAGGAAGTAATATGGTTCCTACCCTCAAGTTGCTGGTAGTTCAGTGCAAGAGGCAGCTAGGCAAGGACATGGTCACAGCACAGTGCGGTGAGCAGAGTGAGGCAGCTCGGGCTGTTTTTTTTTTTTTTTTTTTTTTTTTTTTTTTTTTAATGTATTTTATTGATGTTTTACAGAGACCAAAGGAGAAGGATAGAGAACTAGAAACATCGATGAGAGAGAAACATCAATCAGCTGCCTCTTACACACCCCCTACTGGGGATGTGCCCACAACCAAGGTACATGCCCTTGACCGGAATCGAACCCGGGCCCTTGACTCCGCAGGCCGATGCTCTATCCACTGAGCCACACCGGTTAGGGCGCCATGATATTTTGCATTTAATTTAGAAAGGTCCGCCGCTTGCGTCATAGACACTATGGCAGTTAACTGGTGAAGGAAATGATTTCAAATGGTCGCGAGTGACAGAGAGAGGAAAAGAGCCGGGAGGGAATGTTCCAGGAGAGGGAGAGCTCGTGCAGAGTCCCGGAAGCCGGGGCTACTCTGTGTGTTCAGGAGACTGGGTCTCTTTTGAGGGGAAATATCACAGGATGTGACTTGGCCCTCGATGTGTGTCACCGCAAGAGCAGATGAATTCCTACGGGAAGGAAAAGCAGAAACCCAGTTAATACTCAGCTAAGTGAAAGTTATTCAGCAAACAGGACAAGTCTGCCCCAAGCATCATGAGTTGTCTCCAGATTCTCTTCTTAAGCTCCTAAGTGGGTCCTGGAACTGGATAGCTGACTGAAAAAGTATTCTTTTAAAAATATATGTATATCTTTATTGATTTCAGAGAGGAAGGGGGAGGGAGAGAGAGAGATTGAAACATCAGTGAGAGAGAATTATTGATCGGCTGCCTCCTGCACGCCCCCTACTGGGGATCGAGCCTGCAACCCCGGGCACGTGCCTTTGACCAGAATCGAGCCCGGGACCCTTCAGTCCGCAGGCTGATGCTCTATCCACTGAGCCAAACCGTCTAGGGCCAAAAAGTGTTTTTTAAACATGGGCCTGCCCATGAATGAACAGCGAGTCTCATTTGAGGAATCAAGGGACTGTGCGCTCCAGTTAAATTCTAAAGTGAAATGATCTTAGGCGGAAGATATTAATACATTCAGGAGAACCCGGAAGAAGAAGGCTGTGATTCCACCTTGCCTTTCGTGGGCTGCAATCATTTGATTGTGAAAGAATTTGCTGCCCTGGCCGGTGTTGCTCAGTGGTAGATTGTCAGTCTGCACACCGAAGGGCCTTGGGTTCAATTCCCAGTCAAGGACATGTACCTAGGTTGCAGGTTAGATCCCACATGTGGGAGGCAACCAATTGCTGTCTCTCCTATTCATGTTTTCTCCCCCCACCCCTTCCGCTCCTTTCCTTCTCCCTTTCCACTCTCTCTAAAAAACAATGGGAAAAAATGTCCTTGGTGAGAA